GTATACAATTGTGAAGTGGAAGCAAAATTTTACATGAATCAAAACATTTTTTACAAATAAAAAACTGAAAAGTGCGATGTGCAAAATTATTCAGCCCCCCTGAGTCAATACTTTGTGGCGCCACCTTTTGCTGCAATTACAGCTGCAAGTCTTTTAGGGTATGTCTCCACCAGCTTTGCACATCTAGTGACTGCAATTCTTGCCCATTCCTCCTTGCAAAACAGCTCAAGCTCAGTCAGATTGGATGGAGAGCGTTTGTGAACAGCAGTTTTGAGATCTTGCCACAAATTCTCAATTGGGTTTAGGTCTGGACTTTGACTGGGCCATTCTAACACATGAATATTCTTTTTTTTAAACCACTCCATTGTAGCTTTGGCTTTATGTTTAGGGTCGTTGTCCTGCTGGAAGGTGAACCTCCGCCCCAGTCTCAAATCTTTTGCTGACTCCAACAGGTTTTCTTCCAAGATTGCCCTGTATTTGGCTCCATCCATCTTCCCATCAACTTTGACCAACTTCCCGGTCCCTGCTGAAGAGAAGCACCCCCAGAGCATGATGCTGCCACCACCATATTTGACAGTGGGGATGGTGTTTTCAGAGTGATGTGCAGTGTTCTTTCTCCGCCACACATAGCGTTTTGCATTGTGGCCAAAAAGTTCAATTTTGGTCTCGTCTGACCAAAGCACCTTCTTCCACATGTTTGCTGTGTCCTCAACATGGCTTCTGGCAAACTGCAAACGGGACTTCTTATGGTTTTCTTTTAACAATGGCTTTCTCCTTGCCACTCTTCCATAAAGACCACATTTGTGTAGTGCACGACTAATTGTTGTTCTATGGACAGTTTCCCCCACCTGAGCTGTGGCTCTCTGMATTTCATCCAGAGTCACCATGGGCCTCTTGGCTGCCTCTCTGATCAGTGATCTCCTTGTTCGGCCTGTAAGTTTAGGTGGACGGCCTTGTCTTGGCAGKTTTACTGTGGTGCCATACTCTTTCCATTTCCGGATGATGGATTGAACAGTGCTCCGTGAGATGTTCAAAGCTTGGGAAATATTTTTATAAGCTAAGCCTGCTTTAAACTTCTCCAAAACCATATTCCTAACCTGTCTGGTGTGTTCTTTGGACTTCATGATGCTGTTTGCTCCCCAATATTCTCTTAACCAACATCTGAGGCCGTCACGGAGCAGCTGTATTTGTACTGAGATTAGATTACACACAGGTGGACCCTTTTGAGTCATTAGCAGTCATCAGGCAACTTCTGAATGCAATTGGTTGCACTCAGGGAAAAGGGGGCTGAATACTTTTGCACGTCGCACTTTTCAGTTTTTTATTTGTAAAAAATGTTTTGATTCATGTAAAATTTTGCTTCCACTTCACAATTGTATACCACTTTGTGTTGGTCTTTCACATTAAATTCCAGTGAAATATATTTATGTTTGTGGTTGTAATGTGACAAAATATGGAAAAGTTCAAGGGGTATGAATACTTTTGCAAACCACTGTATGTCCTTTGGTTCTTATGTTCATTTGTGTTTTATACCCATGTTCCCTGGTATCTATGTTCCCTGGTATCTATGTTCTTTGGTATCTATGTTCCCTTGTAGTCATGATCCCTGGTTCCTATGTTGTTTGATACCCAAGTTCCCTGGTATCTATGTTCTTTGGTATCAAGTTCCCTCAAACATATGATTCCTGGTTCCCATGTTCATTGGTTCCTATGTTGTTTGGTACCCATGTTCACTGGTATCTGTAAAATAATGTGCTTAAAATGGGTCCACATCTATGTTCTCTAGTACCTACGTTACCCTGGTTTTAATGAAAGTCATTAAAATGCTCGGCTACTGCTTCACCCTTTTTAAATCTCTTTACATTATTCAAAATGTCCCATTTGCCTGATATAATCAGGAACCCTAAAAATTAATGGAAATACTTTAATTGTGTTGTTGCTGTTTGCAGTAAATTTAAAACAAAGAAAATTGCTTAAAAAAACTATTGTCAGTCAAATTTTAAGCTGAGCAAAAACAACCTGCAAAGGTTCAGCCTACCCCCCAAAATCAAAAAGTCAGCTTTCTAACCAGCATTTTTTTTTTCTTGCATTAGTGCTGTGAGAAAATGATCAATGAGGAAGTAGCTATGTTTGGCTCAGAGAATGTCCCAACATTAAGACATCTGGTGAATCCAGAAACTGATTCAGCTTTAGTGACAGCCTGGTAAATTGGAGGAGAACACCATCTCTTCTCATCCACTCTATAAAAGGAGTCACCCCATCGCTGAGCTCAGATTTTTAAATCAACAAGACAAGTCGTTTTTCTGTCCACCTGTATCCTGGTGCCAACGTGTTCAATATGACAGGTGACACAATCTGCTGCTTCTAATCCCTCTAAGACGGCAAACCTTTTTGTGCAACACAGTTGAGCTGAAATACAGGTGAATACTTAAATATTTCACAATCTTGAGTTGATGAATTGAATCCCAGCTGTGGACTTTTCTGGGTGGAGTTTGTATGTTTTCTCTGTGAAGATGTTCTACTGCTCCAGTTTTCTCCCACAAACCATAAACAGAAATGTTAAGCTAAATGATAGCTCAAAAGGTCCCGATGTGAGAGTGAGAGAGTGAATGGTTGTTTGTCTCATTCAGTGGTGGGCACAACTAACCGAAACATTAAGTTTTGCTAAACCGCAATTTGCTAACTAAAAATATACCTTCACTAATGCTAAACTGCTAAACATGTTAAAAATAAATTAGCATAAGCTATCTATGATAACTAGCTATATTATACCTTTTTGAAATACGTATAGACTATGCCTAGTCTAGTTTAAATTTACAACTTGTAAGTGGGAAGTTCCCATTTCCCAGTAAAGCTTGGCTTCACCAAATGTAGCTGGCGAAAATGTGGCAAAATGAAGATTTTGCACAGCGAACGTCACCAGCTGGCCGCGGCTAGTTGGTTTTAAATCCTGTGCAGCTCCACCTAGTGGTGGGATGCCATCATTTCATGGGTAAAATGATCAACTTGCATTATAGGAGATGTAGTTTATGGTAAATGCTGGCATTAAAGGTGCATGTGATTATTTTAAGATATTAATGCATTGAAAATTTCTTGGGCCACATAAAATTTTGTGCCGGGCTTCATTTGGCCCACTGGCCTTGACTTTGATAGTTAACTTATTATTCCTTTCTCTCATGTTTTGCATTTAGCAGCAAATTTACTTTATATTTCCACATGGACTTGCATTTCAGAACTCTCAGAAGACATTTTGTAGTGAAAGCAATTAATGAAAAAAATAAAAAGATTACAGCCCATCTTGTTCTCCATCATAGACTAAATTTACTGTGTGAATCCGTAGTTTCTTGTGTCTGTGGGCAGAATGTTTAAAAAACGCTGACYAAACTGAGGACTGACGTTTAACACGAACGAGTCACGTTCTTTTTTTTTGTTTTTTTTTTTGGACTTAGCTCTCATTACAGCGGAGTTTGTCTGGAGCTGATCCCCTCTAATCCACTGCTTTGATGTGACGTGTGCKTGAATCTTCCATCGCATTATGATTACACTCCACAGCCTCCACGCTCTCGCTGATGTCAGGGAAACTCTCCTGATGTATATTTGCCTGACAAGCTGTCAAAGTGTTCATGTGTTGGTTTACTTCCATCCTTCTGAAATTCATTATTTTTAAGATTAAAAAAAAGTCTTGAGTTTTGTTGACTTGGCTGAAAGTATTGAATTTAAAACACAACAAGCTGATTTAGCTCTAGCATAGGCACAACACAAGGGGGACAAAATTCAAAACTTAATCCAAGCCAAGGGCCAATTTCTGTCGAGATTTATTGAAGAAATGTTATATGAAAAATTATTCCAAGTTAAATTTTATGTGGCAATTAAAACAAACATTACCTAATGAATAAATAAAATGATTACATTTACAAACACTCATCATTAGCATTTATTTCTTATGCCTTACTGTAACAACAACTTTTTCATTTATTATATCAGCTACATTTTATCACAAAAATCACTAAAGATCCAATTATTTGACTTTAAAATAAAAAAGAAGTCAGCAAAAGATAATGAAAGTCAACAACCTAATGTTTGAGGAGGATTATTGTTGTTTTTGTTGTTTATTTTATCTTCTTTTCTTAAAAGGGGGCAGATATTATAAGATTTTTTCTTCTTTCTGCTGCCTTTCATTTTATTTTTGATTTGTATTTTTGAATGTAAAATTTGATTGTTTTTAAATGAAATAAAATGAATAAACTTTAAAAAAAAAAAAACAAGACTTTTACATATTTAAAGTATTATGTTTGGGGCCGGATAAAATGTTAACAAGGATTTGGCCAGTTGGCCTTGTGTTTGACACGTGTACCTGAGATCATCAAAAACTATGAAAATTCCTGAACAATAAGTGGTAGAAGTAAAATTTCACAAGTCAAAACTGAAGGAGCTGGAGGTGGGTCTGATGATCCCATTTCTATCCAGGGGGTCCATTTAAGCACAGTCACTCAGTTTACATGTGAGTTTACTGCCCTCTGCTGTTTAAACAGGGGATGTTAGACTGAAACAAACCATCTGTTGTCACCTGCTTTGATCATTCCAGCCTTGTGCAGATATTTGGCCCCCGATGTAGAGACTGAACGTTAGATAAACTGTAGAGAATTAACAAGAGAAACTAAACTCAACGTGTATAATCAGTGTTTTACCAGTGATGTCTGGAAGCAAGCTGAATATCAAACAAACGATGAAGCTCTACACCAGGGATGAGCAACTTAAAAGATGGAAGGGGCCACAGTGTTTTGTTGACATTACCAGAGGGCCACATATTGCTGCACATTTCCCCAAATGTGCTAAAACTAACAATTTAAAAAATATTTGTGTATATACATGTTTATTAAACCAACATACTGTGCAGCAAGTTAAAATAGTTCAAGCTCAAATGCATGTATATCAGTTGTACTCTGGTTTATTAAATATGAACACAAAACATTTGAAGCAAACAAAAATTAAACACTTACTTTAGGAAGCTGAAGTTCAATAGAATAAGAAGCCTTGAGTGTGGACTCCTTCATGGTTCTGGTAAAGAGTTGCTGTTGTTTGTTTTGACTTCAGTAAACTTCTCATATTTAGCTTTGTGCAACATGTTGTATTAAAATCCTTCATGGAAAACAGTGTCTCCAAGCAGACTAAACAAAGGTTAGCTTTGAAATTCTTTTAACAGATAGTCTACCTCCCATTTCACCTGAAACATGATTTTCTGTCCAGTTTTCTTTCTTCTGTTCTCAGCCATGGCTAAAAATCTCTTCCTCGCTTGTTGAGAAGTGTGCAATGTGGTGTCCACGTTGGAGGTGCCATCTAGTGGCAAACTTTGTCATTTCAACCAAGTCAGTGCCACTGAGACACTTGTACATTTTTTTTATTTAAAAAAGGCTAATCTGAGAATTGCTTTGAGCAAAGTTGTGGGCTGCATACGGCCCTCGGGCCACCAATTGTCCATCTCTGTTCTAAACCATGTCAAGTMTGAGGACTCTGAGATCAGACTTATCAGAAACAGGTTTGGTGGTACACAATATGAAGAACTCACAGATCGGTCACCCTTTTCTCAGATATAAATTTATCAAATAATTATGAATATGATGATATTCTTAAATGAGATGATGCGCACAAAAAATGGAAGGGTTAGAGGCTTTTAATCTTGAAATAAAACTGTCAAAAACTCAACAAGTAACTCAGACATAGTTTCATGTACTTTTCACTGACATTTAGTTTTTATTTAGTTTTAAAAGAATACAATCACAGACAAATTAAACATCTTGTTACAACAGCTATAGGTGCACTTTACTGAAGAATACAGAACAGCAAGAATGAAAATATCATGCAGAATGAGGTCTGAAATGTTGTTTTAAAGCAGAATATACAGCAGCAGAAGCTTAAACTCATCTACATTGTTGTGGCTCTTACACCATAAACTACCACTGTGAACAAAACGGCATCATTGTTCTTAGAAAAGTGCAAATCTAAACTCAGCAAAGCAATGAAAACGGCAAGCATGAAGAAACCATCGACTGAAGGAAACAGCTGCTTAATACTGACGAAAAGCTTCGACGTTCACTTTAAAAGGAACAGAAGTGTTTCAACACGACTCTAACACAACCGACGGTGCAAGCGTGGCAGTAAATAAGGTGATATTGTACTTTTATTTTTAGTTAGAGCTCGGCGCGTGATGTTGACGAGTATTAAAAATGAGGTTTGTGTGTTGGAGAGAAGTAATGCTGCCATGTGGGGAAAAAACATCATTCAGCGAGAAAGAAACGAGTTTAGACGACAATCAGAAGCTGCTTTTTCACACAATAAACTGGAACGTGTCGGATTTTTTAACCACTCTTTGGAAAGCGAACACTTTTGTTTTGCAAAAAGCTTAATTTGGCAAAGATTGCAAGAAGATCATGAGGATGGGAAGAAAAATACAAAACATTTTAAAGTAAAAAATAAAGGAATTAACAATCTTTGGTTTGTATTTCATAACAGTTGATGTTATATCAATCAATTCAATACTTGAATTTGTTTCTACTTTCAGAAGTGGATCAAATGGAAATATTCAGCAAAGCAATCATGTCAGATAATTTAGTCATCCTACTTGCGCAACAACTTGAGAATCCATTGAGAAAGCTGGAGTTTGATGTTAAACATTAGCGTCCACGTTAAAATTTGAGTAGCCACCCGTAGGTATACCATTTTTACAAAAATATAAATGTTTTACTGAAAAAAAAAAGAATTGTAAGCATTAAACTAATTAGAAAATGTAAACAAAAAGTAAAACTATTGGGTCTTACAACTTGTCAATTAATTAATTTTTAGCTTAGCATCAGCGCTAAATCTATATTTTTAAGATCATTTGTCAACACTGTAGTCCCACAGCGCCAGTATTTGTTCCTAATAATAAAAAATACTCTAACTTGACATTTATCAGCTATTATTTGATCAACATACCAGCTCTGATACAAATAAATAAACAAATAAATAAAAAATACAGAGGCACGCATGGCGCAAACAAACAAGTTAAAAATATGAAACAAATGTAAATTATTGCTTTGGCTGATTCAACAATGGACACAGTGTCACATTCAATAAATAAACCAGAATCAAACAATCGTGATTAAACATTCCAAAAAAGTGCAAAACACAATACTTTGTCTACAATAACGTGTCATGTAAAAGTAAAATGTCAAGATATTCAGGTTAAGATGAAGATCTTTTGGTTTTTATATTGATTATGAACCTTTTTGGCTTCTTAAACTTAAGTTCATTAGAAACAAACTGCTGCTGAATTTGTGCACATTCAATAATTTGGATAAAAAGGGAAATCTAAGGTGGTTTTGTTGACATAAAAAGTAAAACTTTAAGCTTCAGCAGTTTGATAATACAGTTAGATAGGTTTCAGTCAGTGCCAGGAAACTTTTACAACAGATTAGGAATTTTTATTTTTAGATATCTTGAAGTAGAAACAATTAATATAATAAGTTGTCCATAGTTCATTGAATAATTTCAGTTTTGGAAAAATATCTGACCAGATTGAAAAACTAACACCTAATCAGCATAAGAATCAATTAGCTTAGATTAGAAGCTAAGCTAATAGTTAAGATTCTAATCGATTAAAAATCCACAACATTTTTCCTTGTTATGTAGAGAAAAGTAAAGTTGGGTAATGTTTTAAAATAAGCAACTTGTTCAAAGCTGATGTGGAAAAGGCGTGAGACAATCGTCGTGAATTTTAAAGCAACAATGAGACGTGACGGTGTGATGGAGCCTCGTCGTGCACAGCTACAATCGCGAAGGTCATCTTTGATGCTGGTGGTCTGACGCTGCAGTGAAGGCAGAGGCAGTGTGTGTTCATGTCTTCATGTTGTTCATCAGGTTCATGGTTCACAGGTTTCAGATTCAAGTTTAGGCTTAACTTATGTTCGGGGGTGGGGTGGGGGTGGGTGTTTCTGGCTGTAAAATACTGTGTAAGCTAAAGGCTATAGACGATTAACAAATTAGAAGCAGGTGTGGGAAGTAGGAACTAGTTAAGACAAGCTGAAAGGCAGTGGTGGGCATGATTCTGCTCATCAACTAACAGGGAAACAAATTTTTCATTTAGCGCATTAGCTTTTTCACTAACTCTAAAACCATTAGCGGACTAATTAGTTTCTGCTAAATTAAGTGATGCCAACTTTAAGTCAAGCTAACACCTGTCGTCAGCTCGAAGGAGACGAAGACATGACGCAGACTGACAGTCATCTTAGCAGATTATGGGTTGGCGAAGCTAACTTTTCTGTTAGCTGTGCCCACCTCTGCTGAAAGGAGAGAAATAAAATAAAAACAGAAGTAATAACTTAACATGACAGGATAAACTTAAACCAGGACGAAGTTAGAGCCGAACATAAAACGTGAACTGTTTGAGGTAAATAAAAATAAGTGTTTTTATGTAAATAATTATCTTATGGAGCGTTTGAGTTAGGATGAAGGACAAACGTAATGTTTAGGGGGGAAATGAYAGGGAACTTGTAAACTTGACAGAGTCTGTTTATAATAGTGATATGGAACYCAGTTTTTTCTTTATAGCCTATTAAGTACGCAGTGATACATTTACAACAATTAAATACTTTTTAACCAGTTTTTCCTGTACTATTTGTTCTGTTTTGTTGTCATTATCCTTCTGTTGTCCTAAAGGTTAAACACTTAAAATAATATAAACAAGAGCAACTTTTGTTTTATGTATTTTGACTGATTTTCCTTTAGTTTTATTTTCAAACGGAGAGAAATACGTATCTGGACTATTACTCAAGTCTTAAGACTGGATAATGTGTTCGAGTGTTCGGTGATCTGTTGGCAGTGATGCGACATGACGTTAGCTGGGCAGAGAGTCTCCTCAGGTATGAGCAGCACTTTAAACCATGATTGTGACTTTTGTTTTTTGTTAACTGAGCACCCTTCGGAGACTCTCCGGTGAGGATGATGAAGGACACGGCGAAGGTGTGGCGCTTAGAGGTTGACCATATGGAGGTCGGAGGCAGAGAAGTGGGGACACAGGGCCATGTCCGGGTTCTTCAGCTGCCTCAGGATCCTCCGGTGAAACTTGGAGCGAACCCGGTTGAACTCCATGATGTCGCTGGGATCCTCCTCGATCCAGAAGCGGTGGAACTCCTGCATCAGATAACCTGCCGACACAAAACGCCGGACTCTTACCGCAGCGTCAGAGGCACCTGTTTTTAAAACAATTGCTGTAGCATCTACTCACAGAAGGTCTGCTGGAAGTGCAGCAGGTTGGGTGTTTCAGGGGCCACGTTGTACAGGTGAGTCTTCAGAGCTCCGCCCACCAGCAGAGAGTAAGCCAGGTCTGTGATGTTGATGCCCACGATGGCAAAGGAGTAGCTGGAGGTGAGATAAGAAACAGGAGAAGGGATGGAGGAAACTCTCTTTATTTGTTAGGCTGGTCTTTACAAACAGACAATAATTCAGCTTGAAGGATTTTTGTGATTTTCAACAATGAAGTTGCAGAAAAACAACAACTGTTAAGACCTACGGTTAGGTTTGTCCTATACAGGCTTCTGTAAAAGCATCCCTTAAAAGACATCCCTTGAATTTCAAATTAAATTAGCTGAAATTTAAAATTTGTGAAGCTTTTTTCCCAAAATAGGAAACAATAATCTGGTGTTCTGCAGGGTTATAATAGTTTTTCTCTGATTTTTAAAGCCTTTTCAAAAACAGCTAATCTTTTGTCAACATTGTCTAATCTTCAAACAACATAAACATGATGAAACTAGTTTGAAATGTTTACAGTAGTATTTTTAGACACATTAAACCTTTTTCGCTTTTAAACGTGTTAAAACAAACCTTAAATATAACGATTTATAATCCATACACACACGCTCACGTGAATAAATAGCTTTGTATTTAGGCCAACACTCACARCTCCAGCAGCTTACCTTCTTCTCCTCCTCCTCCTCTTCCTCACACAATAAGACACAAACACACTTACCCGATCGCCTTGTCCAGGTTCTTCTGCTCCCAGTCAGGCCTGTTCCCCTCACTGTGAAAAACACACATGTGAGTCACGAAACTCAGATTTATTCAGCTAGAACCCAAATAATCAATTCCATCTGAATATTTTGAGATGTTTTTCCCAATCAAAAGCCCCCAAAACTGTTTCTTTAATAACTCAGACATATAATTTGAACAAAAAATCATAATCAGTGAAGCTTTAAATGCAAAAAAAACAAACTAAAACCAAGCAATGAAAACAGTTATTGAATGAAAGTGAGTACCTTGGCTTTCTGTGTGAGCTCCTACACTGAGTGAGACGGACAGAAAAAGGAGGGCACGGCACAAAATGGAGGTGGAAGAAGAGAAAAAATAAATAAAATTCATTTGAGGAAATGGTGGCGCTCGCTGTTAGCTTGATGACAAACGATAGAAGCAGAAAAACGGTGAAGCAGTGAATGGCATCGAGATTAAAAAGTGAGGGAGGTTTAGCTGAAAAATGAGTGGTTGTGGAGATTAAACAAGACATAAAAGCTGATTTAAATGGCTCGTTTGGATAGAAGCTGCAACCAAACAACTATTTTACAATATAATCAGCTTTTGAAGAGCACCTAACCTTTTTTTTAAATAAAAAAACATGTTTCCAAGCTGCAAACTGTTAAATATTTATGTCACCAATTTGATAGAAAAACTAGGAAATGGCAAAAGAGACAAAATAAGTTTTATTTATATGAAAAGAACTGCTGGATCTGTGGTTATTTGTCACTTTTACATTTTAAATTATTGCAGTTTGAACTAATGGATTCTTGCAAATCAGATTTGGAGCAAAAGCAGAAACCACCCTATGAACTCATCAATGTTTTTTTTATGTTTTTTTGCAGTAAGTCATTCCCATCTGTTTTCGTRTTTTTGTGCTATTTTAGCCATTGGTTAAGCCTAAATATTCAGTTCACGCAGAAGATGGGTATTATGACTTTGGGTTTTTGCAATTTTTAAGCTTTTCAAAATGCTCAACCTAATTTTTAAATATTTTCCCCACAGAAATACTTCTCTACAGTTAATATAAAACATTATTTTTGCACACTTGCTTTTTTGTTTTCTTATACTGCTTTGTTTTTGCTTCCATTCTAATAGTTGCAGTTWGCTTTTTGCAGCTTTTAGTTTTTTGCTTGCCATTTTATACTTTTACCTTTTTGTTACGATTTGATACAGTTACATTTCAGACATGGTTTTCTTTTTTTTAGCATTTAGTCAGACTTTTACTACATTTAGCTTTTGCCTAGCATTTTGGATCTTTTTTAGCTAGTGTGCTGCTCTTTTAACATACCTTGTTTTACTTTTAGATTATAGCTAGCTTTTTGTATTTTTTAGCTTTTTGCTGGACATTTTATACTTTTATCTCTTTGTTATTCTTTTGATATATTTACATTTCAGCCATCATTTGACGTTTTAGCATTTAGGCCTCCTCTGGCTGCATAGTGTATAGCTGATAGCTAGCATCTTTTAGCATCTTGGCATTTTTTTGCAATGTATTTTTAAACTTTTAGCTAGCTTTTTGCTTTTATTTAGCTAGTATTTTGCTACCTTTATCAAAACCTTTACTACTTTTAGTTAACATTTACTTTTAGCCTTTAAGGAGCCTTTTGCCATTTTTGACTTCTTTTTCTTTTAGCTTTACTAACTATTTCAGTTTCTGCAGCGAATTTATTTCTTCAGTGTTTTGATTACTTTTTTATGGCAGTGTTTGTTGTCAGATGAGCCACTGGTTAAAATTAAATGAGTAGGTTTTAGTTGTGTGATCAAACTCATAAAATCAATAAATCAATAAATATGAGATATTATATAAAAGAAGCTCTGGAGCGTTTCTCTCTCAGTCTTAGGTAAGCGTACTTGTGCTTTGGCTGTAAAGAATCCTGGAGCATCTGCAGAGCTGTAGCCTTGTCATGTTCTGCGAAATACCTGCAGAAAGATGAGAAAAAGGGGAAAATGACACGTTGATTAAGGAAATGTGCACTGACCAACATGTTTCTGATCTGTGGAGGAGCTGCTTTACATCATGTGTTCAAACATGTTACAGTGTTTTCTTTTAGCTTACAGCAGGTTGTGCAGGCCCAACAGGCCCATGCCTCTGAAATCAGTCTTGGGGTCGCTGCCTTGGAAGCCGATTTCACACCACTGTTTGGAGATGCGACTGGCGAGGGGGGTGTCAKGGCGCAGCTCCTTCCACAGCTGTAACACGAACACACAACAGGTTTTAACCCTAAATTAAATAACGATAAAAATTCATTTCAGGTCGTATATGTTTTCATCTGACTCATCCTGCCTTCATCAGCGTATCCTCGTGCTCAGGGTTTTCACAGTCGTACGGTTCCCTGCGGAGCTTCTCCACCTCGGCCAGCAGACTCCTATAACCTACGATCTGCAGCAGGCTGGCCTGCAGGGAGACCCCCAGCCTGCAGAGACACAGGGACAGCAGCTGTCATTGTCAATCTGAAAGACTTCAGCTTTAAACCAGGGTTAGGGTCTCCTACTGTGGGTTGGTGTCCGGATTAATCTTCTTCAAGGCCATGATGTCCTCGATGGTCTTCTCCACCTTATCAGGATGGACGCTGAGGGCGGACTGCAGCATCTGGAGGGGACAGGAAAGACAATAGGCATGAAGAAAAACTGTGACAAAGAAGAAATCCGGTTATATTGTTTAAAATAATGCAAAACTTAAAGACTTATACTTCATATTTGGAGTGCCTCAGGGATGACTCTGAAAGGAAAAGATGACAGAGTGATCAGAAACATAACCCTTATAGACAACCTGGACTCAAACCTGCAGCCTGAGGATTACGTGGCCGGTTGTTGTTTCCACAGAACAAAACAACTTGAGGAAAGCTTAGCTACAGATGACGCTAACCCTTCGCCTGTAATGCTGGCTTCAAATATTTTATTTTAATCAAACTATATTAATAAAAATGATATATTTGAAGAGTCAGGTTGGTCTGGACTCCTTTGGGTCCTACCGATCTTGAGGGTCCTGCGAGCTCCATGCTTGTTGTTGTAGCAGATCCGCTGCAGCTCACAGCGACCCGTAAACTTCCTGACGACAAACTTCAGGCCCCGCCAGAGACATTTACAGTAGAGGAAGACAAAGAACTGGGTCAGAACTCTGAGGAGGAGAGCAAAGATGGCAGACGTTAAGTTTGTCTAAAGCACCGGGGTTCATTTTATTTGTACACTCTGAATAAACCACCTGCTCTTTTTAAAATTGTTAATCTTGTTTAATCTGAGCTGAAGACTGAGAAACACGTCTGCGTCTGAGTCAACAAGAAGACCGTACGTTGGTTCAGTCCAGAAGGATTAAATATGGTTCTGAGCCCAAGGATCAGACCCACATGTTAAACAGCTCAGACCTTCTTCACCTTCAAGC